AATACTGCGAGCACGTGGTGGCGTGGCCGTGCCAGTTTTTACACGTAGTCTGACGTAGCTAATCTGTAGATACTGCTGGCAAAGCAGCCGCAGCAACAAATAATCGCCCCTGCCGCGCAGCGCGCAACAAGCAAGCAGCGCTCATAAGGTCTATGTCCCCCAGGGTACGTTCCGGCAGTACCCCGGGGGGCATAGACCCTCTCAGCGCAAGCAGCAGCAGCAAATGTCCGCCGTAGCCGAGCCGGTGTAGGTGTGACGAAAACTGCGCGATTTTACGCTTCCCGCTATACGGATTCGCGCGCCCGCCCCCTCCTTCGGCGCGCGAATTCGTATAGCGGGCAGCGCGAAATGCTACATACAACACACCGCGGTCGCGTGCGCCCAGTCCCGCGGAAGTGCGCGGTTTAACCGCTCTTGGCGGTCGGGGAACAACGCATCTTTTGTGCAACGCCATCTTGTACCCGGTCTCTCTGGCTACTAGGTCTCATGATTGTGTATTGTTATATCGTTTTACAAAATTATTGGTCACTTAAAAACAACCCTGCTTTCCTGGAATACACTGTTAAATACCTTATTCGTGACGTTTGCCTGATGTTAATGTTGCCTGTTGCCTGACGCTTGTCTCGCCCTATTAAAATATATTTATTAACTGAAGTTTAATTACAGCCCGTACCTTACGTGAAAGCAATACCAGGAGGGCTACGTGCTGGGATGACTTTCAAGGTGTCTGCTTATCCTCTACAAACTGCAAACGACAAGTAAGATGTTACAATTATTTGTGCGTTGAAAGCAATTAGGACGAAAGCAAATATGCATTGAATTTTATATTTAAGAAGCAACTGCATAAAGTTTGGCAGTACGCTAATGGTTCGTGGGTTGGTTTTCAGGCTTGCCGTGAGCTTTCTGTGCGGATCACATCTAGGTAAATCTGACATCGCGTTCACGTTCAGTCCTCGCTTTAAACGGCCGCTGCACATCATCCGCAACTACAGAGTGAACGGAACGTGGGGCGACCAGGACCGCACTAACTATGGAGATCACGACTTCCCATTTCCACGGGGCGTTCTATTTGACCTGGTGATCAAATGCCACGCGGACAAATTCCGCGTGACGTGCAATGGCAAGCATCTGATGAACTGTCCATGTCGTGTCATGCCCCTGCAGAGAATAGTCAACTTAGCGATCATTGGTGAGGTGTGCATTCAGAATGTGCGCATTCAATAGAATCAGGGGCGCAAATCCAGGGGGGGACAGGTGGACATGTCCCCCCACAAATTTTCAGAGGGGGACATCATATCAAATGTCGCCCCCACGATTTTGGATCACAATTTTCTGATGAAAGTGGTTCAGCTTGTAGGCTACATCACTCATTTTTGGGCGATTCCCCTATTATTTGCAAGAATCTTCTTCTTCTTTACCTTTTCTTGCAAATGATAGGGGAGCGGTGACCCCCCACCCCACCCATCATTTGCAAGACATTTGCAAGATGTTTCTTTTTCTTTTTCTTCTTCTTTTTTTTTCTCTTCTTCTTCTTCTTCTTCTTTTCTTTTTCTTGCAAATGATAGGGGGCGACCGCCCCCCCCCCCTCGTGGCGCCGCCCCTGCACACACACACACTTACACACAAAATCATTTTTCGAACTTAATGGATTGAATTTCGACTTTTATATAATACCTGTGCTTAAAGACATCGATTATCAAAAAGGAAATAACACCTTTGGGGACTCCCGGAGTTGGGACCATCATTTGTCGATGATGCTGTTTCCCGGCGGAAAGGTAGGCACACTTGAGGGTGTTAACAACTTATAAATTATAATTACAACGTTCAGACTGACCTCTAATAATACTACATGCTATCTTATTTTTACCTCCGCCCACGGATTGGAGGGGAGGTTATGTGATCGGGTCTGTGCGTTCTTGTACACGTTAGCGTGCGTGCGTGCGTGCGTGCGTGCGTGCGTGTGTGTGTGACGCGATTGATATTAGCGCGACGCGAGCGAGCCAGCCACAGCCGGCTGCTGCTGACTGAGCGGCGAGCGAGCATACATGTACGCTGGCGTATATCGTGGGTTATTCGTGTGTTCGTGAGTCGTATGGCGTATGTCGCTGGCGGAGGTATGCTCTTTCCGTGAGTGCCCTCTGTCTAGTTTTAGTTAGTGTGTGTATGCGTGTGTGTGTGCGTGTGTGTGTGTGCGTGTGCGTGTGCGTGCGTTCATCTCTCTCCGGG